TATATATATATATATATCTTATCTTAATATAAATTACGTGTCACGTTGTTTGTCCGCAATGGACTCCTAAACTACTAATCCGATTTTAATCAAATTTTACACACTGTATGCAATTTCATCCAACTTGAAAGATAGGATAATTTACATCTCAATTTATAATCGCAATATTATTTTATTGCCAATTATTTGTTTATTAACAAAGGTATCGGACTGATTGTGAGCCACAGCAACATGTGACGGGTTACTCCTAGTTAATATATATATAAAAATTAATAAATATTTAATTAATATTTAATTAAATCTCTTTCAACTTTCTATAAAATTACAATCAAATATTATAAATAAAAATAAAAATAAAAATAATAAATATAATAAAATAAAATGTGTAAAAATAAAAACAGTGTATTTCTTTCTCTCTCTCTCTCTCTCTTACTCTCTCTGTAAAATCTTTATACTGAAGAAGAAAAAATATATCCAAGATTCTCTATGGGATATAACAATAAAACAAAACTATGTTCAATACAATAGCCTTAGATAGTAGTAAGAGCATAGAAAATATATTTTCAGACATTTATGAGGGGTAAAAGGAAGTTGTTCAAGAAAGTCCTTCGATCGTTGAGTCACAGACACGATGGTGATTCACCGAATCAATGGAAACATAAAAACACGTATAAGAACATAAAAACCATACATATATATATATATATATATACACATATATATGAGTAAACGTGAGAAACAAGATATACATACATCTATCTTTAGGTAAATATATATGTATGAATAAGTAAAGTATAATAAAGCTTAACAAAAGACAAAAGATTACGAGTGAACTGGTGTAACATAAATTACACACATACCTATAAATATATATATATATATATATATGCTGAAGTTTCTTTCATGGAAGGAACGAACGATCGTTGAGTACAATGAACCAAGTTGGTTGACTACTTGGAACAGCTGATCGTATAACAATAACATAGTAGAATATTACACAAATGTATTTATATTATATTATCTTCAAATAAACCTATTTCTAATATAAAATCAGAATATATAATAGTATATATAAGTGTATTTTATATTATTCTGATAGATTTTGAAATATATTATTATTTATATTGAACATTCCAACGTTACTTACTGATGAATCACATTTTTATTTTTGTGTCTATATATGTAGAAACGATTAAAAACTGAATCACGAGATTTAACAGCGATGTTTTCTAATCATTTCATTTCATTTCAACAAAAGAACTCATGTGACAAACATCGACCGACATGTAAAATTTGTAACACGACTATGATGATAACAAGTTGCTTTCAATTTATCAAATTGCGAGAGAGAGAGAGAGAGAGAGAGAGAAAGAACGAATTTCTCAACGGAACAAAAATCGATGGAAGACATTCACATAACAAAAACTTGAACTATATATTATATATCTTTTATCATTCATCACGAATATATACCCCCACGATCCATTAAACACGATCTATAGAAAAACTAACGATAAGTTGTAAAAGAACGTATATTATATGAAAAGTAAAGAATTTTATAAGTTATATCTGAACAAACAAACAAAAAAAAACAAAAAGAAAAGAAATGTGTATTAAAGTTTTCGATAGACCAATATCAAAGATAATCTTTCAAAGTACGTAGAAGAAAGTTTGCTTTTTTACCTAGAAACCAATCAGACACCAAACCACCAAATATGGGTATTTGACAGTGATCGAAAGAAACAAAACAAAACAAAAAAACCATCAATAAATCGAATAATAAAATAAACAAGACTCCTAGCGTGAAGAGAACACCATGATCTTGAAAATAAATACAACAGGTGAATGGTTATTGAAATAAACAAACAAATGCATGCAATTGAATAAGCGAAAAATAGATAAATCAAACCTGTTTCTTCAACGGTGTAGCATACTCGTCCCTGCTTCTCTCGAATCTTTCAAACTTGAAACTATTACTCCTGTAAAGTTCGTTGTCACTCTGTTGTCGTCTGCATAATCTCCTAGTGAATGCCCTAGGCCGGCATGGCGCACATTCGGAGGCGAGCTCCCAGTGCAAGTGCAACATCGCGAGCTCAGCCGTGCATCTGGCCATCGCGCAACCAGCACGCCTAACTCGATATTTAACTCGTTTAATACGACCCTCGGTTTGTGGTTTATGAGAACATGGTCGAGTACCGGCAACGCTTTCATCGTCATCTTCGTCGACGTTTAATGAACTTTTTCCGCATTCGCAGGTTGCGCGAGTAGCCGTTGCAGTACGGCGACCACCAGCTATTGTTGTTGCTGTTGTTGTTGTTGTTGCTGCTGTTGTTGTTGTTGTTGTTGTTGTTGTCGTTATCATCATCATCATCATCCTTGACTCGTGTGAGCAAGGTTTTGATTGCTCGTTGCAGTCGCACTCGCACGGCGCCTCGCCACCGTCTGTACGAGTCTGCTCGACAATTGAGCTCGATGTTCTCTCCTGTTGCAACGTTCCCACATTTATCGATTGCTGTTGTTGTTGTTGATGATGCTGCTGCTGCTGTTGTTGATTTGTTTGATTTGACGAGCCAGCAAGAGGTGATGAAGTCCCCAATCGACGTTGTTGCTGCTGCTGTTGTTGTTGTTGTTGTGAGATAACAGTACCACTGGTAGTAGTATGTCGACAAGGTCTCTCCGTGCATTCGCATCTGAAAATAAATTCAAAATTGATTGATTAATATCATTAAAATCGTTAAACATTTATATCATAATAAAATATAATATAATAAGGATACGAAAAAAAGGTGTATCAATAATTTGACTAGACATTTGAAATAAGTTATTCACATTTGTCATAAAAATCTATCAAAATGTATCGTGTATCATTTTACGTATCATTAACCAGGAATGTCGATATGCGCGCACATACACACAAGTAATAAGAGGGAGAATTACACTCGCGCGCATGCACATGCTCCTAAAGCCATACATACATATCTATATATATATATGTATATATAAAGGACCTCATAGCACACACACACGTATATACGCTCGACAGGTCCTTTAAGCCGCTTCACGCTCGAGACGAGCGAGACAAAATTTCGGATTTCAACCCTCAACATACTGGATATGTCTTCATGGTCTGATGCAAGCAAACACTTGGGCGTTCGTCCCTTAAATGTAAAACTCGAAGTGTTAACAAAAGGCTTGTTTACTGCAATGAGTACTTTTATTATCTTAGAGATAACATTTGGTTGAAAAATATTCGAGAACAATAAATGAAACTTTTTCTTTGAAAAAAAAAATCAATCAAACGTGTAAGGACACGAAACTGTCAAGAATGTAATACAATTGTCAAATAATCTTTTATCGACCAGGACAAATCTCGAGAGTGTAGCAGCTGATCAGTTACAGGATACTATTGACATTCTTACGCGCGAAATTACAAATATATTTCAAACCAGTTTATGCAATATCTGTCAAAAAAAAAAGAAAATAATAATCAAAGAAATACAAAATTATCAAATCATATAATAAAAATAAAAGTCAAAACAATTACAATAAAAGTATTAAACTTATTATACTATAAAAATACAAACAAGCGTTATTATTAAAGATCTATAAAAAAGAAAACATATAAAATCAATGCATACGTAAAGATAACCAAAATAAAAAGAATGAAAATAAATTGTCTCACCTTCTGACCCTTCGCGAAGATCCAGGAGCGCGGGGTGCGTCGTGAGGACAGGGTTGCAATTCGTTTGGACAGTCGCAGTTGCCTACCGGTTGCTGTCTCGTACGACGAACTCTTATTAATACAGGATGTACCGGACACGGTTGAACTTGGCAAGCACATACTATCGTTTGAGGATCTCTTGATCTTCGAGATCCACTGGCACCACGCTTCGCGCGTTGGTCCACGTGCAACTGACATGGTTGCACGGGGCAGCCGCAACGTCCTACGGCACTGCGACGCCCAACACCTTGTACACGTCTCCAAACCCGCTCCATTCAACGACCGGCGTGCAACTGACAATTGCACGCCCCATACCATTCGGTCGGAACCACTTCGGTTAGCTTCGGGAAGTTCCGACTTAACATTCGACTACTCGGCGAACTAAACCTCGAGGAGTGGGGGATGAAAACTCGTAGAACTGTCAAGCTCCTCACAGCTGTGTACCACTGATGACGATATTCTCTTTCTGCTTTCGTCACGTAACGACTGAAGAATGTAGTCATATGTATATAAATATGCTCTTTAAATGCCTTCCTTCATAGAACCTTCAAAATATATTTCCTTTTAATGTAATATATGAAAGAGACGACGACGGTTTAAATGTATATGTATGTTTAATACGTTTTCTTTTATTTATGTGTCTACTATCTTCGATCAAAATCAATTTTTTTAATAAATATAATGTGATTTACTATATGTCTTCTTGTATGATATGTTTCTTTCAAAATATTATAATTAATGTTTTTTTATTTCTTTTTCACAAATACCATTATTGTACATATAAGAAATGGGATTCTGGAATATAGAAAGAATATTAAAAGATAGGTTTTGTTGTTTTTGGTTTAAATTATTTGTAACGAGTAAAGATTGATTGTTTTTTTCTTCTTTTTTTTACATAATTACATAAAATATATTACAAAGTATTTCTAATGTACCTTATCGTTTGTTTAATTAAACTATTCCTAATCTAATTATTGTCATCAATTAACTCTTGTTGTACTTAATACCGAGGATGAAAATATTTGTTGCAATATTCTTGGAATATTTTGTAAATCCATACAAACGTAGGCACGTCCGGAAGGCATCTTTTTGATCAATCTACAAACAAACGAAAATATAATCAAATTAATGAAACTAATGTTAGCTAAAAATAAAATAAATCATCTATACGAACCTCGTAGCTTGATCACCTAACGAACCGATAAAAATAGCATAAGCGTTAACATCCAAATTCGAAGTAAGTACTTTAGCAAATCTTTCTGGTCTAATTCCATAACGTTCTAAATTTGCATCAGAAAGTACGACAACTATCGATTCGTCGGAATCTTCTTTTGCTAAACTAGAAATAGCATATTGTGTTGCTTCTAATGTATTGTCACCTGACATACAAAATTGTGAATGAGCGTGCATCGTCTGAAATATAATTAGAATTAAACCAATTGCAATAATAATAATAATAATAATAATATATTAAATTCATCCGATATATCTTACTTTAATTACTTCCAATCTTCGTTTATTATCAACCGGAGGATTAGCACGATCAACAAAAAGAATACGATAATCATCCCCGGAATGACCAATAATGTCATATTGAAATTTATCTTCGTAACCACTGAACGATTCCATCATCATAACGCAAGCTTCCATTTCACGATCTAATCGTCCATCGTAACCATTAAATCTGTACATACTACCAGACACATCTACAACTAATTTAAGTCTTTTTGGTTTTAATTGGGGTGCACCAATCTCTGGTTCCTTTTCTGATCTACGTCGATAAATCGTTCTTTCACCGGTTAAACCTTCTATTAATTTTGTATCATCCAATTCGCCGGATGTTTGATGTCTGCACCATTGACGTTCGTTACTTTTAGCTTGTAGACTACCTAAATAGTAAAAAATAATCATAGATATTGATCAAACATAACATTAAATGTTATAACAACTTACCTAATATGATTCTTAATGCTTGAACTTGTTTAGCAACTGCATCACTAAACCGACTATAAAGTTTATGATCGTATTCGCTCATACTGATATCCTTTAAACGTTGCTTAAAAGCACGCAAACCCATTTCACGTGCAGCTTTTTTTACATGTTCAGGAACTGCATTTTTTTCTTCGTCACTGAGCTGATGCACCGTATGACCAGCATCCAAACGATATGGACCACCCTTTCCACCAAGTCCAGCCGTATCTCTACCTACAATTTTATACACAAATTCTTGAATTAATTGTCTCTTCCATAATTGAATATTTATTTAAAAATAAACGTACCTCCTGTCCCACCCGCCCAAGTATTTCCACCAACGTGTGGATCGTTCTTCTCATCGATCTTTCCATGTTTCGGACTACTCACATCTTGTCCTGAATATCTTTCCTTTGTTATTTGTATTTTATCATCGTCAGATCCAATCATTTTTCTCCAAGAACCTAAAGACTTTTCTATATTCGTTAACGATGTTTCCCATAATCGAATGCATCCATTAACGTCAACAGTTACAAGACCATAATTCGAAGTAGGTGCAGCAAAAATTGGCAACTCTTTACCGTACAACCATTCAGAAAGAGGATTGACTTTAACAGGTCTAAATAATAATACATATGATTATTATCATATTTAAAAAAGACATTCCAAAATGAAATATGTAACTTACTCTGGTATAGGAATATATCGAACTTTACGATTAACAGTATTAACAACTTCTAAATAACCAGAAATTCCAATATATTTTTTATCACTAGAAAAAACTTCATCAGGTACTTGTTCAGTAGAAATTGTTCGTATAACTTGACCATCATTTGTAACGATAGGTCTGATAAAACTATTTAATCGTCTATTTCTAGGCCAATAATGTAATTCATTAGCACTGTCCAATTCAGGAAATCCAATAACAATCCCAGCGTAAAGATTATTAGTAACCAAAAGTCTATTAGGTGAATCAATTTTTTGTTGCAATGCTTCACTGAGTACGTTTGTATGTAAATTGTCTTGAGAACAACTCAGGAATAAACTATTTTTCAAAAAATGATTATTTGATTCTTGAATTTCTCGCAAATTGTTTGGACACGGTTGAGATTCCACAGACTTGCCTAAAATGTATTTATTCTTGGATGTATCCTGTATCAGCCATTTATTCGCAGACGCAAGTAATATCGATTCCACGTCACACGGTAAGTTGATCGAATATGTGATCATACTATCCAAATTAACAACTTCCATTTTATTATTATTGGGAAGAAAGAAGACTAATTGATTTGTCGAAGTAATCAAATCTGGTAACATCTTCCAATTGAAATTCTGACGTCCGAAGGTATTGGTAATTTTATCAACAGTTTGTTCCAAAATTGAAAATAATTTAACTTCTTGGATGGATGCATTATCCGTATTTATCATAAGTAAACTATTACTCTAGAAAAAAAAAACAAAAAGAAGAAATTTACGTGATATTATAATAAATATAAACAAACAAAAAGAATAATTATAATTTTATTTAATAACTTACACTTCCTTCGTGTACAAAAACATTTCCAATTTTGTCAGATGTTATTGTATAAAGTGACGGCTTATGACTTCGTTCTTTAATTAAATCATGTAGTTTAATTTCTTGAATTGTTTCAGATTCTAAATTCATAGTAAACAAAGTTAAAGGATTAACAGTAAGCACGTGTACTTTATCATCTGTGCCATCTCCTTTTGTTCCTTTAGTAACTGTCAAAGACACGACTAGACCACTTTCGTTCAATGGTACAGTCCAATAACTTTGTAACTCGGTGAACCAAGCAGATCTAGCTTCAACTCGATCTAACACGTGATTATTTCGAACTGGATAAGAGAATGTTTTCAATTTGACGTATCTCTCTTGAACGGGCACAACCTTGGATGTGCTTAAAACGTTCCAACTACCGCAGACCTTGATGTCTGGTAAAGATATTCTGAAAGGAAAAGGAACAAATAATAATTTATACATATTTTACTGTTATCATTATTTTATTTTATTCTATAAAACACATAGAAATTTGTTTTTTTTTTTTTTTTTTACATAAAAAAAAAAATAATTATATAATGTCGAATAAAAATTGTCTTACTCTTTCGCTAATGCTATATTATTTGGTGAAGTTCCAACAGGAATGCCATGTTTGTGTAGGACAGTTACTAATGTATCAAAAACTTCTGGACTGTATCGATCGAAATCAAATACGTTTCGTACAACTACAGATAAAGTTTCATTTGGAAATTTCTGAAATACGATAATTATTGTAATTATTTCTTAAATAAAATAACATTTCTTATCGATCTCGATGAATAATTTCAATTACTCGACTTACTTACCTCTAAATGTTTGACGATATTAACGACTTCTCGAGTTGAATATGGATAAGAAACTAAACCTTGATCGGCCATACTTCTCAATTCACCAAAAGCTTTGACCAACTTATGTATAACTTTGTCATCAACATTAGGACCATATTGTTTCAACAATTGAATTTCATTTTCCATACTGGGATTATCAACAGAATGTGTACTAAAAAGATCTCCCAAAGCACCAAAGAAATCATTGCCCAAAAATGGGAATCCAGGTCTGTTTGCAAGAACTATCATTCGAAAATCTGGATGAAGTGGTATTCTTTCATTACAATCAGATATTTTATTATTAGATGGAACGATTCGTCTACCATCCGATAAAATCATTTCACCGGATTCAATCAAAGTCTGAAATCAAAGATTTCAATTACTCAAATTCACAAATAATATTTGTCTTGTTAAAAAATGCAAAACTTTTTTCGCTTACTTTTAATATATAGGTCACGTGTATCGGAGCTTTATCGGCTTCATCAACAACAAGAACATGTCCAAGTTTGACCGCTTGAACCAAAGGAGAATCCTCATAAACGACTTTACCATCTCTGACCATAGGTTGTAAAGTTAAAGTTTGAACAGTGGTATCCCTATGCAATTGAATATATTCTCTAGGTCTGTTCATCAATTGCAACAATCTATCGACTATTTTATTTTTACCGACACCTTGATTACCAACGAGTAAAAGATTATGTCCTAACGTAAAATCTTGAAGCAAATTTTCCAACAACGTAAGATGTTGCGGTACATCGTAAAACAATATGTCCGGTACTTTGCTCAATGACGTAGTATTATACCTATCAACTACAGTATTACCAATTTTTAATGTTTTATCATTAACTTCATAGTCAATCTTTGGTATATTTTTAGTATCTTTTATAGGAATGATATTTAATCGATTCAAACAATCATCGAGTGCCTGTTTCGTCATGGTTGGTAAGAAACGTGCCAAACATGCACGATGAACAGCCGAATAAGCGTCATCGTTAGGAAATTTCTTCATTCTTTCAGCTATTCTTAACAATTGTCTTGTACTAAGAGAACTAGCGAGAGACTGTAAAGTTGGATCGTTCGATGATCGTAAAGTATGTGCTAATTTAATAATATTTAATAAAGCTTCATTGGGTTCTCCATACTGAAAAAAAAAGAAACACAATATTATATTATTAACATAATCAATTTGAAACAAAAGTTGACATTTATAAAAAAATACGAAAGCTATTTACTTTCGATCGAATAATATGAATTTCTTCTTCCTTAGCCAGAGGTCTCATTTCATGAAAAATAAACATACTTAAAAGCTCGGAATTCAACCATTGACCTGTTGAACTATTAATCACTGGTTTTCCAGCAAGAGCTATCAATCTAAAGGACGGATGAATTCGGTAAACCCCCAATTCGCGCATTTCTTCGTCTGACTTTTTATATTCTTCTTTAATTTCGTCATATCGATCGGCTCTTAAAAGTCTTTTACCGTCGTGTAATTGTAACTCACGATCGTAAATCAATCTGAAAAGAAAGACAATTCTCATCAATTATGGATCGTTATTTATTTATTTATTTAATACTAGGGGTGCCCCACCACGCGTTACTGTAGCTCACAATCAGTCCGATCAACGAATTACCTTATCCCGCCATCTGTTAGAATCTTATTGAATTAACAGAGATAATCATGACTATTTGTTAATAAACAAATAATTCGATTATAAATTGAGATATAAACTATCCTATCTTTCAAGTTGGATGAAATTGCACACAGTGTGTAAAATTTGATTAAAATCAGTTCAGTTGTTTAGGAGTCCATTGCGGACAAACAAAGTGACGTGACGTAATTTATACATATTAAGATTATACCTATGTAATATTGCAAGTGTACTAGGATGTATTCTATCAACTCCATCTAAAACAGCCATTTTTCCTTCAAGAGCCGCATCAACAAGAGCCGAATTTTTCCAAACAGTATCACCATTTGATAAAGTTGTTCTTTGCTGTATCAAATCTCTCGATGTCATATCCTACAATTGATCAAACAAAAGAAATCAAATAAAATGTCTAAAAAATTGTCATATGAAAATGATTATTTAACAAAGTATTTGAAAACTTACTTGATAAAGCATTATAGGTTCTACTTCGTAACCCATTAAATCAGCTAACTTTTGAATAGTCGTAGATTTACCACAACCTTTCGGACCAATTAAACATAAATCCGAAACTAAATTTGATTCCATTAGATTGGCTAATAAATTATTTTGATAATTTGTTTCTATATATTTATCTACCATTGATTTATTTAATTCCATTGATCCACAAGGCATCTGTGAATTAATGTTTAAAAAAAATAAAATGTATATATATATCAAAAATTAATTTTACATCTAATACATTTTGTTATTTCTCATTACTTTTAATGTTGTTTTGACATCATCCTTCGTAATAACAACTTGTAATAAATTATCATCAATTTTTTGACTATCTATTTTAATTGATTTTCCTTTTATTGGATTATTCAAAAGATCGAACGTTTTAAGAATATCTTCTACTGCAGTTTGTCCTTCCTTACTCAAAAATAATTTATACGGATAAAGTCTATAAAATATATCAAATGACGACAAGTCTGGACAATTATTCTGTGACAAATAAATACAATACAAAATGATTAAAAATTCATTCAATTTTATCATTATGAAGATGAAACAATCAAATGTGATTTTATAATAAAATATGTACCAGAATTTTCGCAGCAAGTGTAAGATTGTCCAATGGGAAATCAGGAAGATTCAAGCTCATAGCTTCATGTGTTACCAAGGCATGAGCGCAGGATAATAATTTTGATAAACGTTCTGAATCGATGTTAGATGCTAGTTCTTTCATAGTTTTCATATTTTCCTAAACATTGTAACAAAACAAAAATTACCATTAAAATTTACATTAAATTAAATTAATAAAAATGTTTGAATTCATTTTACACAAATGAAATTCATGATTAAACATAAATGATAATTCCTGATATATATATATAATTTAGCCAATATTCTTTTATAAGAGTTCACGAAACAGTGATTTAACAAGTAAGGAATGTTACCATTGCGATCGATTCCATACATAAAAGCTCTTGGAGTGATTAGCGCCAAGTGGTTTCTCCTAACTGAAGCAAGTACCCGAGTAACTACCACTCGACACGAAATCCCAAGGATTACTTGGTCGGATTTTCATGGAAAAACTTTCCAATTGGATTTGATCCCTTATCCCAAGTCGATCTTTCTAAAAGCTATAAACGTAGGCCGCATGCATATTCTCGTGTGCCAGAATTTCAACCACCCCCCCCCCTAACTAACTCTCTTATACAATAAGAACATCCCTCAAACTCTTCATTTAAAAACATTTTACAATTTATTTCTTATCAATCTATTTTCGATTAAACAATTCGTACAAATATTATCTATCACACTGTGATCTTTCTTTACTGTCGTTAAAACTCGTGAAATGAGTTTCGTGACGATTAATTGTCTTTATGAATATATTTTTTTTCTTTTTGCATGAAAGTATTGTACAATGTTTCTTATTTGACTAACTTTTATAAAAGACAATTTCAAATTCATATATATATATACGTGATAAATGTCACTGTAGAAAAAGTTGAACAAAGTTTTATCAGTCAAAAACTTTAATAATCTTATGTTAGTTTTATTAACGAGACAGAACACACGACATCAAATTAAAAAGTGTCGTTAGTTTGTATTTCTTCTTTGATAAAGATAATCAGTGTTAATTAATCATAAAATAAAGAATTCTGAATTGGTCGTAATTAACACAGTTGTAACCAAAAGATTTTCTCTAACTTTTAATATTGTTCTTATATTAGGTCGAGTCATAAGTAACTTCCAATGCGACTATGTAAAATCTATTTTTCGTATTTACCTACTACTAGGGGTGCTCCCATCACGCGTTGCCAATAAACACGTCTTTAAATCAACGAATTACCTTATACCGCTATTTGTTAGAATCTTATCGAACTAAATTGAGATATAAACTATCCTATCTTTCAAGATGGATCAAACTGCTAACAGTGTGCAAAATTTGATTAAAATCGGTTCAGTAGTTTAGGAGTCCATTGCGGACAAACAACGTGACACGAAATTTTTATATATATTAAGATAAGTCACCGAAACAAACGGATTTTCGATATCACTGTATAGATGAGAATTCAGTTTAGTCTTCAGTTAACTTGTTTATACAGTCAATGTTACATTTAACCGTTTTTCTGAACCACTCAAATGGATAGTAGTAAAAAGTGCATATTCGACATGTAATGCTTTAAGAATTGAAACAAGGCAATTAGCACTAAAGTGGCAACTGAAAAAATATACAGTGTATACAGTGCAGAACTGATAACTGATAGGGGCAGTCAGAAATTGGTTTTGTAAAATTCCGTTCTGGAGATACGATGTTAAAAGATGAACCCAAGTGCAGAGACGTATTTCCGACTTTGATGAACCTTTTAAAGGTAATATTGGAAGCAAAATCCAATAGATACGTTGAACAATTGCAAAGAGTGCAAAAAAAAAAGAAAACTGCATGAAAGGTGTCTTGCACTTATCAGTCTTAGAAACGCGTCTTCAAAAATCAGTCTCATAAACAAACGGAAGTTATTTATGACTCGAGCTAATACTTTAAAAAGAAAATGGTAACAATAAATAAAATTATATATATTATAATAATACATGAAAAAAAAAAAGAAAGTATGTCAGCTGTTAGAGAATAAACATTAGGCAATAATTTCGTGCGAATGTTAGAACGTTAAAACGATTACTCTTCGTGTCTGTGTGGTATTTGGAAAAGTAGCATAACTGACACGAGAATGCGTGACAAAATGCCTTTCTACCATTGCGGAAACAATTTAAATACTTTTCTATAATTATTTCGAAGTTTTAAGCACCTTTTCTCTTGCATTATTATCCCCGTTATCTTCTATGATTTAATTTCGTATACTTTTAAAAAAGGATTATCATAAAAAATAAACAAAACTCTCGGTGATATCTCACATTGGCACTCTATATATATATATATTACATATAAATAATAATAATTAATAAGAAATATAAATTTATAAAAAAAAAAGGAGAAACACACTTCTATTTATATAATCAGTATTTTAAAAAATAAATGATTGGTGCGTGTTAATTATTTTTTTCAAAGACAAATTTCATGAAATACATAATACATTATAATTATTTTATAATAACAAAGATATTTTTTATGTTTATAATTATTTTTTTTTTTTTTTTACAATGATCCTATGTGGTATATATATATATATATATATAATATATGTAATATAATTTTAATTTATATTTATATATTATATTAATATTATATATTTTTATTATTTTAATATAAATATAATTTTATATTATATATACATTATAATAAATTATATATATTTATTATATATATATATTATATTATATATTATATTATTTAATTATTATAATACATTATAATAAAAAGATATTAACGTAGTCTTGTTGAGAGAACAAATTTATTAAAGTTTCAAAAATGCATTTTTCCAGTGCATTGTAATATCACGTACAACGGGGAAAGAAAAAGACCAAAATTTAAAATGTATATTCGCTTTGCGAGCCATTTTTATGAAAATTAATCGCAAACTAGGGATTCCTGAGAAGATGTCGCACGTATTTTCTCATTGCAATTAAGTTTAGGCATAAAAATATGTAACTGCGGTCTTCCAACTGATGACCAAGAATTATTACAACTTTTTTCTATCTCTTCTTTATTTTCTTCTTGTTTTTCTATCATCTTCGTCGAATCATCTTCTTCATTTTCATTCGTCGATTTTATCCAAACATTTTCATCGATCTCAATCGTATCATTTTTCTTCATAAATTCATCAATTTCAATTAATTTTCTTCTTGCCATTCTTCGTACGCTTCTTTCCAAACATTCAGGTTTTCTTCCTTTATTTAATTTATAATTGTGCATAAATAATTGTCTTTTATCCGAAGAAATGTGATGTTTATTTAAACGTTGTTCATCCGTGTTTAAACCTTTTCCAATATCTTCAACATCTCGTACATAATTCTGAACCTTTCCTGACAAATCCAACCATTGAAGTACCCTCTCTGATAAAAGATTCGAACGGATTTCCGGCAACTCGAATTTATCAACGTTAGATCTCGATGAATAATAATCGTTTGATGAATTATTCCATCGTTCATCGATACTTTTTATTTCTATCCTAAAATCCTCGACACTTTGATGATGTTCCAATGTTAAATGTTTTTTAATATCTTTCATAACCGGACAAGATTTGAACGATCTTCCAGAATCTCCTGACAATAATCTATCGCAGGAAGGTATTGATTGTCTAAGAATCATTTTAGAAGATCCACGATCATCTTTCTCAACCATCACGCTTAAATCGACGAAACAATTGTTCAAACTATCCAATCTTGATGATTTCAATTGTTGATAATCCGATTGACTAAACTGGTTGTTGTTACCTTTCGATGTATGTGGTCGTCGATGTTGATATTTGTTCTTAGTGTTGATCAAAGGATCATCTGGTGACAAGACAACATGACGAATACCACCCACCCAAACAGTTCTTACTGATAATGGTCTTTCTGATGATGACCATATAGCAGACATTGTTTTTATAATACTTTAATTAACAACTTTTAAATCTTCTAATTTGTTCACTTGATTCAATGCAATTGTTTGTGACCAAGAACACGTGTATTTTCATATCACTATATTAATAGATTAATTTTATTTATTTATTATTTAATTTATACTCTCAAAAGATCATAGAAATTATCTAAACTAATATGATGAATTATTTAAAGAATATTTTCTATTGTATCTTTGATAAAACAGTAAAAGCAATTCTTTCGGCTAAATTCCGGCTTATCGACTTCGGTAGGGAAAGGACAAGTAAGGTTTCTAACGTTTAGGACACGCGATCCCAGTGTCTGTGACCGTCGCGCAGTCACGGTCTTCGTTTATATACGAAGGTAACGAGTATCGGAAGGGGGTGGTGGATATAGAGGGGTTCTTACGACTGCTCAACAACCCCATTCCGATGATACCCTATTTTCATCAATCGTAAAATGGCTTATATATATATATATATATTTTTATTTGTACTTTAAATATAGATTACATTTAAATTAACTTTTTTTTTATCTATTTTATCCTCTACTATTTTTATCTATTTCCAAAAATATTATAAGTCATTAATTTTATATCAAAGCATCATCGGCATTATCATTAACGCGTTTTAATAACGTGCAATATCAATTCATTCGTTTATATATTATTGTAAATATTAATATTAATTTGATTAACTTACTTCAAAGGTAGAAAATGGTATATATCTTGCTTGAAACCTAGATCTCAGTGGTGGATCCAATGGATGACCAGGATACCGTGGAGATGGTAATCCCAAAGCAATTACTCTAAAATCTTCACTGACCCTAACTAATTGCCATGCATCTAACTCTGCTTGACTATGTTTCTATTAACAAATCAATTGACATAATAAATAGATACGTGTCATATACAAATATTATTATTTTAAACATATATATATATATATATATAAGATATACCTCTAATAATTTATCATAACGTGCAGCTGGTATAAGAAATCTACCATCTTCAAGATGCATTTCTCTATTTTCTAATAAATTATTTAAAATAGGCAAAACATTTCTTTCTGCTTTCTCTACACCTTCTATCACAAGAATTCTACCATTGGTAGCAGCTCTAACTGCACTTTGATCATGATAATAAGCAGTACCACTTTTAATCTCTCTTCTTTGTTTCAAATCAGCCTCCGTTGTATCTCTGGATAAAGAAACGAATTCTAATTCTCGATTTGTCAATTCGAGAAATGCCAAAGCTAATTCTCGTCTTCTTGAACCTGGACTGCCTGTTAAAAATATATCTTGACATAGGATATCCTTTTGCAACATCCATTTTAAATGTCTCAATGATTCTTGTCCAGTTATTTGAAATGCTGCAAAATAAAAATCAATTGTATTTTAATAATAATATTTCTTTTGTTTTTTTAATTATTATTACAATAATTGAATACTTACAATATTTTCTAGGAATGTATTCTGGAGTTTTGGCTGACTTTACACGCTTTGACACATCAGCAATGGTCACAAATGAATCGTCTGATAAAAATAATAAAATTATTAATAACTGTCAATTGATATTTATATATTGTATTATATTTCTTTTATCTTTAATTAATTCAATTTTTATATGTATATGCATATAGGAACCGCAAAACAAACCTAAACTTACCTGATTTACAACGAACGAACATAGATGACAGGTTAGGATACAATCCACGAGATCTTTCCAAAACTTTGTAAACTGTTGACACACGTTGACATTTCAATGAATTAAATATCATTTTGTTAAAAATGATACTTTATATTATTATTATCCTGACAAACGATACACGTGCATTCTTCTTCGTATCACTGCAAAAATAAACTTTGGACTTTAACCGCACGCCATTATTTGCTAATGACAAATGGCGGGAAAATTTGAATGTACATACATTATTCTTTCGCAATTTAAATATCCTTAAATATTAATTCATTGTGTTTGTTTATCTTAACAATATATTACACGATGATATCGATTACAAAGTTATTATTTTTATTGTTAGATTTTTAAATTATTAATGTAAACACGTGTCAATGCATATTGATTTTATTCATTTGTTCAGCATAGTTTGCGTTGACATTAGGCTATACAAATATTATTAATAATTAAAAATAATAACAGTAATATTATAACAAAATAGCATTTTTAAATACACCTTAATGTAACAATTTTATCACTTTAATTAATTTTTAAGATCATTTAAACAAAATTACATTATTTATCGTTATTCATTCACTTAACAAACAACAGAATAAAATCTATTCGAATATTTAAAGAACAAAAAAAAGAAATGAATTAATTAATTTTTTAAAAATACATATTTTATGATCTTAAAAAATAATGCAGTAATAAATAATGAAAGGACAATTAGCTTAAACATATTGTATATATAATAAATACAGCCATACTTATATATACAATTGCATACGTATAATATTTAGTTTATGCGATTTTCATATTTTTTACTAATTATAATTTCAAATAAAACAAAAAAAAATAACTAAATTTTTGTGATGTTTGCAAAATAGCTAAATTAAATTAAATAAAAATAAAATACAAATTTTCTAATTTAAAAAAAAAAAAACACCCACACGCACATCATTTTTAAATAACAAAAAACTGTACATGATTAAATTTTTGTATTTTTCTTTTTTTTTTTTTGTAATCATTTCTTTAGAGATATAAATTTCTCATTTAGAAGTTTCTCTGTAAAATAACAAATATTACATTAAATTTTTCTTTCTTTCTCTTTCATGAATATGAACAAATAATAATATGAAATAAAATTATTAATATTATTATCATTATTAATTAGTAAATTACCTCGACAAAATCATCTGCTCTTCTAGCATTTGCAGGATAATAATCGACTATTAAGGGACGTGGTCTTTGTCCAATTCCTGATGGTTGTTGCAATCCACATGCTTGTTCTTCATTAGTAAGAACAGTTACTATTGTACTAACAACTTTTTCATCTAACTGTGACATAGGTTTTCCAGGTGCTTTCATACGTCGTAAGAATAGAGCATTCCATTTTTGTCGTAAATTTAAAAACAATTGTACAGTCTCAATATCAAGTTTGAATACTACCCAATCATCCAATTTAAAAATAGTACCCTCATGATTTTCATCCACTTCTGAATCAGATTCACTTTCGGGTATTGCTAAAGTGCATATAAGAAAATGTATTTTATATTTAATCATTAACATATAAAGAAGAATAATTATAATATAAAATGAGCATACCACCAGCTTCATAAATAACATCCATTGGTAATCTTGCTGGACCACTAAAAAGTGCTACAGTTAAGGGATTTACAAGAGTTACGATTTTAACGTGACAGAAACGACCAGTACGACTCATTTCTTCATAAAGTAACCAATCTGTTGGTAATGATTCTACATTAGCTGCATGAGTTTGTGCATAAGTCATTCTAGGTGATTTTGGAAAATCTCTTAATGTCGATGATGGATGAAAGAAGACCTTAACTTCTTTTCTAAAATGAACAAAAATTATACCAATTGATGAAATATCAATACAAAATAAATAATCATAAATTGAAAATATACATACTGAGTTCTTAATTGCATATGCTCTCGATCGACTCTGATTAAATTTGGATATAAACCAGCTGTTAAAGCGGCTTTAACGACTGCCCAATTTTCAGAATTTGTATTCAAATCTCTAATATCACCAGCACCCCTTGCTCTAACAAATCCAGATGCACGAAGTTGACCAAGAAGTTGAGTTCGCATTCCAACAACCATTTCCATAACAGGTGCTGAAATAAAATTTTTTTCACAAAAACTACGTTCCTTGCCACTTGCTCTAGCATTTTGCCAGCTCTGAAATGCTCGCAGAACAGCCATATGATCTGAATAAGTTCCGGTTGCAAATTTTTTTCGAGCAGCAGCCACAGCCCTTTTTTGTGATGGTTGAGCTGGTAGAATAAATGGATCTCTGTAATAAATTACATCATATTAGAAATAATATTAATATATACAATATGTTTTTTTAGAACATACTACATACTTATATGCCAAACTGCAAACAATAGTTAAAACTGGATCGAGACATTTTAAAACTACTGCATAAAGTAACATTTTTCCTAATCTTGGTTCTATTGGTATATCTAATAAATGACTTCCTAATTCAGTAAGGTCTTCCCATGGATCCAATGCATCTATGGTCTTCAATAATTGAACAGCATTTCTGGTTACTATATTAGAAGGAGGTTCTATAGCTCTGTCTAAAAATTCTGCAATTGGTGTATTTCCTGGTGCCAAATGTTTTGCAAAGAGACATAATTCTTGTAAAGGTAATCGTAAGATTTCAGGTGTTTGATGAGATGCCATACTATTAAATCGAACTGAAGAAAATAAACGATAACAGAAACCTTTCCTACATCTGCCAGCTCTTCCCTTTCTTTCTTTTGCAGATGACTGTGATATCCAATTAGAACGAAATGTACATACACCTAATATTGCATCAAATGATTTTTCTTTAACTTTTCCTGAATCAATGACATAAACGACATCATCGATGGTAACGCTTGTTTCTGCTATATTTGTAGAAAGAATAATCTTCCTACTTCCCTGTGAACTAGGTTTGAATACTTTTTTCTGATCACACGTTTGCATATTTGAATGTAGTACATATAAAGTGTAACGAAGACCTTGATTCAATTTCTTTTCCTCGCTATTTATTTTGTCTCTGACATTTACTATATCATCGTATCCTGGCAAAAATATTAACATTGAACCTGGTGGCATTTTTAAATGAATATATATAACGAGATGTACAAGAAGATCATAATCGATATTTTCATCGTTAAATGTATGATGATATACATTTAATAACATTTTAGCTTCCTCAGAGAGAGGGACATTTTCACCATGAACTATATCACAATCTTGTACAGTACAATCATATGTTTTCATATATGCTTCAATCAATTCAGCGCATTCAATTTGTTTCATATTTTTTGCCCAATCTAATGCAGTCCATTCGTTACCAGCTCGAAGATTCAAATTTGCTCCAAGATTTAATAGTTGTTCAGTAGTGTTTATACATCCTCTACCTGCGGCAACCATTAATGGTGTGACTAATGTCTTAGAATGTTGATAATCTACAGAAACATTTTCAGAGAGTATAAAATGCAATAATTGTGCAAAGTTATCTTCCCCACCGCACAACCATGCATCCGATATACTTTTATCTACTTCTTCTATCAACCAAGGTTCAAGTTTAACCTTCTCTGGTATTGGTTCATTTTGTTGTGCTAATATTGGAGCAGGTAACAAGCATCTTTCATTAGATGAACCGTTACCAGAAATTTGTGGCTTGTATTGCGTCCAAGATTCTAAGACTTTGCATTGTTCTTTTTTATTTAAAAATTCTTTTTTTCTCATCATCATTTGCTTAGTCATGTAACCAGTCATTTTTAAAATATCTTCAAGAAAATATGTTTCTACTTCGAACAATCTACCAGGGACATTAATAACAGTACACTTGTCAAAGTACTTGGCAAAAATATTGATATCCAAAGTTGCACTCATAAGAATGATTTTCAATGATCTATATTTATTCACAGCATCTTTTAAAGCTATTAAAAGAAAATCACAAAATCTATCACGTTCGTGAACTTCATCAACTATTATATGTGTAACCGTAGTTAAAGCAGAATCTCCACCCATAAGAGTCCTAAGTAGAACACCATTGGTACAATATGTTAATAAAGTTTTAGGTGCAACTCTACTTTCAAGTCTTATTTGATAACCAAATGTTTGTCCAATTTTTTCATCCCTTTCAAATGCAACTCTTTCAGCAACAGATACAGCAGAAAGTCTTCTAGGTTGAGTGCATATAATTCTACAAATTTGGTGTCTCTGTTGGCAATGCTCTAATATATATTGAGGTACTTGAGTAGTTTTACCACTTCCTGTTTCCCCAGCTATTATGATTATTTGATTAGTAGCTAAAGCATTTAAAATATCTTCTCGTGCACTATAAATTGGAAGAGATTTACGAAAATTCAATACGTCAAAATTAGTCTTCAATTGTGGAACTTGTGGGATGCTACTATTCAAACGACCCATAGCTTTTGTGCTTGCAATAACTAAAAATAATACAAACAATATTTCTAAATATCTTAATTATACATTTATACATCTCAAGAACTGTTTCAATTTATTATTCTTACCATCTGCATTAAGAGGCCTTTCTCTTTCCATTGGAGGTAACAAATCTTGACATTCTTTATGATTCAATGGGAAATTATGTAATAAAGCATAAATACTTTGTTTAGAAGTCTTTTGCAGTTTGATAACTGCATCAGCTTGAACTATAGTAGATCCTTCTCTCTTGTATACGGTTAAAAATCGATTGATACCTTTACTGTAAATTCAAATTTATTATCAGTTATGTTTTAAAATAATGAAAACACAATCTATCATTATATAAATATAAATTAGATATATATAAGAGTAAATAGTGTTAGCATTGTAACAATCAATTAATGTTTTGTATAAAATATTAATAACTGTAAACTAATAAAGATTACAGTACTAACACTATCTAATAATATATTAAAATATGTTATTTGACACGTACCCTCTGCTTTTAGATTTTAAACCTAGTTCCCTGGCAAGTTCATGAATGTAAGCTCGTTCTTCTGCTGTATATGAAGATGGAAATTCTAATTCTTTTTGATCTGGTGTTCCTAATAATTTCTTCAAAGTTAAATTAACTGCTATTCTAGTGTCTTCTCCTATTAAAGGAGGCCTCTGTTGCTTGCGTCGGGGCATAATTATTATTTGAAAATTTACTAAAGAACAAAGCACAAATGTATACAATTATAAATTATATATACACACACACATTAATCATATGTATAATGCATGTAATATTACATATGCATTATAACATTCAAAAACAACAAAAGATAACCAATTTATTAATTGCTAACTTACTGTATTAAAAGACACACATATATACAACATATATGAATATTATTTAGAACTACGTAATTAATTAACAATATTTATTTCAAACATTAGAAATAGCACTGCTGACAGTTACTAACATGAACGAGCGGTAAAAGCAATGTTCAGGAAAGTATATACTTTGTAAAACACAAAGGCTCTTATTATTCCATATTTGTATTCTTAATTTTAACTATTCTGCACATTTATGCAACATTGTAAATCTAACCAAACTTTTTAATAATGTTTTAACCTTTCTTATTTCAATAAACATAACCACGAATATTATTACATTGAATTGTTCAGCATATAACAAAAAATAAAATGAATTAATTATTATTTCCAATAGAGCCTGTTTTGGAACTATTTATAACTACGATCGTGATAATCGTTTCTTATTCCGCCATCTTGTATCGAATGTTTTTTGGTGCGAATTTTAAATATGAATACACAAACGATTTCTATAATATTTGTTTTTATAATCACATTATACATATAAATATTTATAATCTATTCTCAAGGCTATACTTAAGACAAAACTTATTTGCATTTCAAAAAATGTATAACAAAATAATAAGAATTTATTATTACAAGTAGCCGGTAATACAGTGATCTACTATACCCACTAGTCAATAAAATTTGTGTTAATAAATTATTGATATTTTTATTTAATAATTCTATTAAATAATATCACTAATATTTGATGGATTATCTCTTTTTTTATCTTAACTTAATCTATTAATCTTTTAAAGTAAAGTTTATAATACTTGAAGAGTATTCAATTTACAAAAAAATGAATGTGTTCATTTTGTTTATAAAAATATCTTTTCATATTTAACTTATATTTGTTGTTTCGATTTAACTTATGATATAAGAAATAAGAAAATCGATATATTTCTACCAACATAATATATGACATAAGATAATATCGGAATACTCTTTACATATGTAAATATTTAATGTTTAACCAACTTTGAATCGACATATGGACATTGTCCATACTTGAAAAATTACTCATAAAATAATACGCAAATGTTTACATAGAAAAACAAAAAAAAAATCTTAACAGATAACAGAATTAATAAGTTGACATTAAAGAAAAATTGTTTGAAAAATTTATTTTACGATATTAAATATTACATTTCTAAAAAAAAATGTCTAATGTATTATGAACAAACTAACAAAAACATAAATTTGATGATAATACAAATAAAAAAAAAAAAAAAAAAAAATGAAAAGGTCATATCTTTTCATTCTTTCTTTTTGCGCATATTTTTACAATTATTTATCATAATTTTTTTTTTTTTTTCTAAATACAAAGGTCAACAATGTTAAATTCATTATCGCGAAATTTGAAAATGCGTGTTAGCCTTTAGGTTTGAAATCAATCATCAAATTCTTACAGACATTTTTTGTTAGTCAATTCGACAATTGTATAATTAATTAAAATAAATTAGCATAGAGTATAAAGGTTAGACTTAGCAATAAATGATTAATATGATTTTTTTTCAAATTATATAAAATCATTCATATCTATATTTTATTGAGAATAAACCTTAAAGATACCAGAAAGTGAACATCCACGATTCTGCGCGTACTCATTCGTGTCACCGTACTTGTCAGTGTACGTTGTTCCTTCTGTAATTTCTACAATTAATATAAATTTATAATAAAATTATTCAATAATTCAAGATATCACAAAATGTCGTTAGACGAGGTAATCAATATTTAATAATAATTATTAATATAAAACAAAATTAAATCATTAATTGTTGTATTGTCATCATAACGCAAACCGGTTGTTATGTTGTGTTGTTATCAATTTTATAATAAGTGTGTATCTCTATGTGTGTGTAGTAGTAAGTTGACACACATTTATCTTACGAACTTGTTTATGATTCACTTTTATACAAAATTAAATGGATTATATCGAATAATCTAATCGGATGATATATTTTTTTTATTTTTATCAAATGATGTAACTGTATTCTGAGTAAAATATGTGAAATATTGATCAATTTATTATTTATTATCTGAATTGTTTTGTCAATTTATCAAAACAATTTATTCAAGCAAAAACGTATTACAGAAAGAAAGAAAGAAAAAAAAAAAGAAAAAAGAATAATTTATAATATGCTTTTTAATGAAATAACAAAAATATATATTATTTTTACAGAATTTTACCAAAGCAAGTGAGGATGTTAAAAAACTTTCTTACAAACCGTCGAATGCTTCTTTACTCGAATTGTATTCACTGTATAAACAAGCAACAGTCGGTGACTGTGATACAGGTAAAAAAAAAAAAAGAACACAAAAAAAAAATAAAGTCATTTCATTTTAATTTTAATTCTCACCGTAAAAATATTCATCCTTTTTTTAAGGTATTTACGTATTTAACGCCACCCGCAACAAAATTCCGCTAATGCGCCAAACTACAGCTTCAATTGTTGCGCCAAATCATAGAAAAAAAAACAAAAAGAAAAAAAACTTGATTTAAAGTCGAGAAACACTTTTCAAATTCAAAAGATTTTATTTATAAAAAGTAGTCAATTAAATTTTGATGGAAAATGGGCCCGATATAGAATTGACCATAGATTCAAAACAATCTCTGTTTTCATTCATCTGATGTTGTCGTCATATGAATTCTGATAAATAAGATTTCAAATGATGTCTAACATCATCTTGTTCTGTTTTTGACAAATTCGAAATATGCATTTTCGTAGCACTAAAAAAATGACGAAACTTTGACAAAACCTTGATGCAACTCTGACGAAAACCTGACGGTTGCTATGTGCAAACAACAAGATTGTTGCTCTTTATTGGCGCATTAGCGGAATTTTTACTGCTATGGCGTACGTAACAAACCTTTTTTATGTAAATTTTGTTCTTTTATCTTTCAGATAGACCAAATGTTTGGGAATTTGAAAAAAAAGCTAAATGGGATGCATGGAACAAACTAAAAGGTATGAGTCAAGATACAGCAAAAGAAAATTACATAACTAAAGCCAATGAATTAATGAAAGCTGATGAAAAGTAACAATAAATTTTTAAAAAACACAAATTTATCATTCTGGGAATAAATATATATATGTTACGTCTATAAGCTATATATATATATATATACATATTTTTTTGTTAATATATATTTCTAAATGTTTATATAATATATATATATATATAATATTCAGTTTCTGTAATGACAGAAAAAAAAAAACAAGAATTTAAATAATTATTTAAACTTTTGCACAATTTCTTCATACGTATTCTATTAATGTGAGAAACACAACACACTACTTTATACTATGTGCATGATATTCAAGAGCATATTTTATATGTCACGTTATAAAAACATTAACAAATTTACCTTGTTTATATAAAAAGAATATACATAAAATATTCTTTGTATATATTTCAATAAAAAAAAAATAAATCAAATCAAATCAAAATCCACGATCTACAATTTCTTGACTCAATAGATAATAGTAATTTCACAATTTTCCAATAACTTTCAAGGAGAGATGTGTCACCTAAGAATATTCGATTTTTCTTGTACAGTTGGTAGGTATGTAACTGCTACTACTACATTTACTCCACATTATATTCCTTGAAAAAATTCAAATAAATTAAGTTAAACATGACAAATTTAAATATAACATTTAATCAAAACTCAAACTACCTACCTTCATATTCCAAGAGTATCCTAAAATTTACCTGTGAAGAAATATCTATTTGAATTTCATTCCTGTATATATATCCAGTTCTTTGACCAATCAATTAGGAAATAGATGAGACGTCATTTATACATACACGTAATTAATAATGTATTTCTTCGCGTTTAACATGTTTTATCGGTAATCATTATATACACATCCGCGCATAACTAAGTACTTAAAGAAGAAACATACACAAGATGGTAAATATACAATATATATATATATATATATATATATATAAAGAAGAAGAAGGCTAATTAAACTCTTGGGATGAAGGATCTCATTCCTAAAAAAATATACTCGCGCATTTTAATATTCCTTATTTAATTAACACTTGATAGAATTTTGTATTTAACATGTTAAGTGCAACGTCAGTCATTAATGACTGACACTGAAATTCACGTTCAAGCCATGTCAGGCACCGATGTCTGACACTAAACTTCATTCAGGCCATGTCAGTCATTAATGACTGACACTCAACTT